CATTTACACAGTTAACAGCAGGACACAGTAACATTTACACAGGACAGTAGGACACAGTAACATTTATACAGGACAGCAGGACACAGTAACACTTACACAGTTAACAGCAGGACACAGTAACATCTACAAAGTTAACAGCAAGACACAGCAACATTTACACAGTTAACAGCAGGACACAGTAACATTTACACAGTTAACAGCAGGACACAGTAACATTTACACAGTTAACAGCAGGACACAGTAACATTTACCCCACGGTTCCTTTAAATATCATAGTTTTTATTTAACAATATTTTAGTCGAAATAGTAAATGTTACTGTGTTTTAGTAAATACATTTCTTGGATAAGACCAGTGGCAGCGCTAGGCATAAGCAGGCGAAGAAATTGCTTAGGGGTCCGATCAGCTTATGATGCACCCAATCAAGGTTTTTTATTTTTATTATTTTAATGTTTTTGGTACTGTACTCGTTTGATAAAAAAAAGAGTAGTGTTTTCAATAAATGCGATTCGAAAACACATCACTCAGCAAAGGACGGACATTTGAAATTTCAGCAGCAAGATACTTTTCTGTGAGGCACGTGTGCAGTGCGCGTGCGGTAAGTGTTGCAGTAAACGCACTATGTGCATGATTTGAGAAAGATAACGACGCAGCGGTGTCACTGTGTGAGTAGAAATGCCTTTGTAACAAGTTGTGTTAGCATCTGTTATGTTTATATATGTTTTGCTTTGTGGAAACAATGCAATTAGTATTTTGCTATGGAGTTGGTGGGGGAGGCCCAAAATATATTCTCCAGGGGACTAGCACCGCCCCTGGATAAGACATTTCTAACAACAATTATAACAGAACCAGAGCATCGGAGCAACCAAAAGTAAAGTTTTAAGATACATTTTATTTTCATGTTTTAGTACTGTGCTCATTTGCAAAAAAATGAATAATGTTTTTAATAAATGCGATTCGAAAACACATCACTCAGCAACAATAAGTTAGCTCAACAACAACAAATATAAAATTAGGTTACTTTTATAACAGCAGTAGAGTCAATACATGGTTTGATTTATTTAATGAAAGGTAGCAAGTACGAAAGGAGAAATAATTTTTTGAAGCTCAAAGCTCCATATTGGGCCATCTGCATTATAAGCCATCAAGGTTACAACTGAACCTTGGAAATGAAAGGCTTTGAATACCATAGAATTCTCCCCCACCCCCTCCCAACCACCCACAATTGCATTTCCACGTTCCACTTTAATTGTTTACAGCAGATGATAAAATAATCCTTCAAAGACAGCCAAAGCGCTGCGGTTGTCGATAAGTCTTGACATATCCTTCTAATTTTTACCGCCTAATTCATAAACAAATCATTTCCTACTACAGATGTCTTAAGTAAAATTAAACTCCACTCAAGGTGTTGATGCTGTAAAAAACTATCCAAAAAATATATATAATTTTCTAACCGTCTTACTAAAGGTACTTCGTAGATTATCAGAAACCGGAAGAACTTTTTATTGTGATTTATACAATAGGTGATCGACATTTTTTTAACACATATATATTTAACCAAATAGGCAGAGTTCCGGCTTTCCATTTGCTTTGAATATTGATATTAATATGAAGTATAATTTAGGAGAAATGAAAAAAAAATACATCTTTCTATTAAGTAATTTATTTGGACTATCACTGCATTTTTTTTGTTTTAGCTTTTTAATACACAAGCTTTCGGCTAATTATCTAAGCCTTCTACAGGTGCGAGACGTTTGATAAACAACAAGATCTAATGGAACAATTCGAATCACAAGTCGCCTAACAACAACGAAAAACAAAATCTACAAGGCCAAGAAACACAGTAAGCCATATTATTGTGGTTTGTTAACATAATGCTAGAAAGATAATATCAACAGTAAATATAAATAAATTCAGTTAGATCAACAACAACAAATATAAAATTAGGTTACTTTTATAACAGTAGTAGAGTCAATACATGATTTGATTTCTTTAATGAAAGATAACCAGTAAATATGAATGGGGAATCCATGATTTTGATTAATGCCTGTAGGAAAACCACGATCATGGGCTACTATTGCAATGGCTTCTTTAATTTTTTCTCTTTTTGGTATTACATTCCTTGGCAATTATTACTATATTCTTGAGGTCAACTTTATGGTTTTCCTCTCTAGCGTGTAATACAATGGCTGAAGTATCTAGAGAAGCATGTGCGATGTCTCTTTGATGTTCTTTCACCCTAATATTAACAAGATGTTTGGTCTCTCCGATGTATTTTTTTTTTTACATTCACATGATACATTGTAAACAACGTTTTTTTGCGTGGATGTTGTGACTTAACCTTACTTAAGATATTACGTAGGTTAGTCGGGTTCTTGAACATAGTTTGGAGGTTAAAGGTATTCATAATTTTTTATTTTTTTCAAAGTCCTGGAAAGTAGGGTATCACCATCCTATGTTTATTTTTCTGATTAATGGGGCTTTCCTCATTGAACAGTTTTTTGATGGTATTTTTTACCAATTGTTTGAGATAGTTGTCATAAATAAAAAGTCTGTTGAAGCTGTACAAGTTCAGTTACTACGTGTTCGTTGCTACATATTCTACGCACTCTGCATGCTAAGGTTTTAACAGATATGGGGTGACAGGATTTGAAGTTAAGATATTTGTTTGTATGGATTGCTTTTCGATAGATGGTAGTTTTTTGTTTCAGGTCATTGCTATTCTTTACAACCAGTACATCCAGAAAAGGTAAGGAGTTAATTGTCTCTACTTCTAAGGTAAATTTTATAGAAGCGTGTTGATTATTTAGATGTAATAAAAACTCGTTTAAACTTCGTGTGTCATGTTCCCATAACACGAAAATATCATCAACGTATCGAAGCCAAGGTCAAGGAAGGTGTAGTGAAGATGAAATGGCCGTAGTTTCAAAATGTTGCACATAAATTTCAACAAAAACAGGAGAGAGAGAGAAGAGCTCATCGGAGTACCATCCTTCATGTACTGATAGTTCCAAAGAAAATTGGTGGATTCTAAGCCTAATTCTAGAAGTTTGATAATATACTTAACTGAGATTAGTGTTCTGTCAGGAAGTGAGACAGAACACTTATTTAGTAAATCTTCTATAATATTAATAGTATCATAGAGAGGAACATTCGTGAACAGAGATACCACATCAAAACTAACTTTATTCTTGACTCATTCTTCAGATTTTAGATCCTTTATAGTAACAGCTTCCTATATTCTTAACTCATTCTTCAGATTTTAGATCCTTTATAGTAACAGCTTCCTATATTCTTAACTCATTCTTCAGATTTTAGATCCTTTATAGTAACAGCTTCCTATATTCTTAACTCATTCTTCAGATTTTAGATCCTTT